GATACGCACAATATCATGGAAGACATCGCGTCCATGAGAAACCGTTTGAAGGCCACCGCGCTGACGAATAAAGCGAGGCGCACCTCCAGTAGCGAAGGGGCACGCCGGGGTAAAGAAGCAGAAGAAACGGCATTCAATGTCATTTTCGGGACACCTTTCGTCAACAAGAAGGTCGATGCATCCGTGTCTTTCGCGGAATTACCTGATCTCCAAGCTTATGAGGACCGCCTGCTCATCAACGTCACCAAGCAACACCAGACGGTGTTCGCCGATAAAAACCTGGACGCCATTATTGCGGTATCCGTGGCACGCCGCCAGAATACATATTTGAGGAAGATGGACGACGATGACCATACGCGCGTGAGCGCAGACTACGCAATCCAACTATGGAAGCAACAGGGGGGAGTCTGCGCCAGATGCAGGGAACGCTTGTTTTGGAACTGGGCTGTAGGTGGTCGTGCGGGCCTTGCTCAGCTTGACAGAGTAGACGTGACCGTGATGACATATGTGGATAACTGCGCATGGTTGTGCCAGGCGTGCAATCGGCACAAGGGAATGACCGAGGATATCCTTGCCTATGATCGACATCTCTTGGGCGCACTCGATAGGGCAGTTGTACTCGTCGGAAGCGGTGAATGTGACATGGCAGCAGATACGTTGAAGCACGCTCTAAAATTGCAATTAACAAGACAATCACTACAATAAACTCGAACATTGAATTTTTTTGGTTGCGGCACTTCAATTTTTTTCTCAGGGGTATGTTGAACAGAATGACAAGGTGCGCGGCGCCCCCAGGGGCCCAAACCATCTAGCGCGATTTTCCAGGAAAATTTGCGCTAGATGGTTTGGGCCCCTGGGGGCGCCGCGCACCTTCCCCTCTCTGTCCCCTAGGGCCCTCCGGCCCCTAGGCGCCCCGCGCCCCTTGGAGAGCCGGGCGTCCCGGGCGGAAGGGGTCATACATGTCGCAGAGAAAAAAATATCGAGGTTCGCATGATGGATATGATGTTTTCGTAGCAGCGAATGCGTCGACGTGTCCCGGCTTAAGAAAGTAGTGACTCGAAGAACGACACGGGATGGACGAGACTTTCGTCATAACGTTGCCGTTCCTCATGGAAGCGAAGGCATCCGAACATGGATGTAGATGGCCGGTTCCAAAATGGTTGGTCGACGCATTGCTGCTACATGCGACTCGCAAAGCGATCAAGATCCAAAGAGCATGGCGAGCATACGCGCAAAAGCAGAGGGGTACATGAGGCGGACCGGTAAGACGAGCGATATAGGGAGGCAAGAGAGGGATTCTTGGCAGCATTTGACATTTTACATAGGTTCTTTCGTACGGTTTTGTGCTCCTGATGTCTATTTCGTAAAGTATTCAACGAGCTCCGGACAGGCCTTCTGCATTCTCTTCCTGTAGAGCTGCACCATACCATCTTGCACGGACAGATGGTCGTCCCGGAAGCCCTTATAGGCTACGCCTCGAACGACCGTAGCGTCCTCGAGAATCGGCGTGTCCGATATCGCCCTGAAGAGAACGTCCAAGACAGGGTCCAGGAGCTTGTTCGCCCTCTTGCGCATGCTGCGGACGTGCAGAGTGATGTCGCTGTCGTCGTGCGGAGTCGTACTGAAGAAGAGCACGAACGGCTGCCATGCCTTGTCGGTCTTCTTGTCGTGGATCCGGAAGCGCAGGCAATTCGTCAGAGGCAGCCAGAAAAATGTGTCGATCTCGAGAACTATGCGCGGGCTCTCGAAACGGGACAGACAGACGCTAGGCGCTGAGTCCTGGACATCCTCATTCTCCTCGGCAATCTCCACCTTGGGAGCGATGAGGTCCATGATCGAGACGCTGTGTACCGATTTGATGTGCTCATAATCGACGCTGCTTTCGAGGAATGCCATGGCATTCACCCCGCGCAGCCTGCGGCTCATCGTGACGGTGCGATAAGAAGGATCATCGAACTCTCCGGATCCGGGGGATGTCGTCCGGGTCCTGCCCTCCAAACCAGAGCGCCCCATCTTTCACCACGCCGGTGAACATGCCAGGGCTCCCCTCACTCGAGAAGTAACGACCGTGATAATGACAGACCACACACCCGTCTGCCACAGATCCTTGCGACAAGCTCGCCCCGCGGTGAGGGCAGCGGTCTAGAGCGAGTTTCTTGTCGAAATGGACGTAGCGGTCCCCATATAGTCGAGTCGTGCGCAAGTCTTTGCAGTCCTTCTCCCAACCCACCATGTGCCACTGTTGGAATCTCTGAGCAGCCTGCATCTTGTTACGATATCCGCGAGGTCAAAGGAAGACGGGCCTCGAATGACACCCGATATGACCGCTTCCTTATGACGAGCCACGTCGAGAGAAGACCCGCCTGAGGAGCGCTGCGATCCGCGAGGTCGTAGGAATGAGGACGATTCCCGTCAAGGACATGATTTTATAACCGTCTCGATCTCGACTCTTCGACACATAGTCTGAGAAGTGCGGCAGGAACTTCGTGAGATGGATCAAGGAGTAGGATGCGGATCACATGAAGCGGTAATGTGTGGACCAATCTTCGAGTCTCATGCAAGGTACACGAATGCATGGAAAGCATCACCGCGCAGAGCAGAGGGGCAAATGAAAACGGATAGGCCGGTAAGAGGAGCAACTACGAGCATCGTTGCTACAAATGACCTGCAACATTTACGCAGCGACTGTACATATGAAGCGAAGAATCCGCTATGAAAATGTTGGAGCAGTCAAATTCGTTCCCTCGAGTTCTACACATGGGCAAAGAGGCTCTAACGTAAATTTTCAGAATCTACCTTCTAACGGTTTTCAATCTAACGGGTACGCCTTGGATCCACACGTTCTTAAATCTAAAACTTGTATTTCCTGGGCCTTTTCTTGACTCTCTTGGGCCCTTTCCGCATTGTCCCGCCGTTGGTCGTCCTCTTGCCTGGCAGATATCAAAAGAAGTGTCACATAGAGAGCGATGGCGAGTTCTATGCACGAACAGCTGCGCAACAGAAGAACTTTACAGTATTGCAGTAGATCCCCTCGTACTTACCCTGAGAACTCGCGAAACTCTCTTGACCGGGCCGGATGCTGGAAAAATGGGCAAAAGAGACAATCAGACGCTGGCTTTAATACCTATCTGTTTGATGCGCTCAAACACATCCTCTCCCTCTTGGTCTGCCGCCTTGAACGAAGTCCTCCAACTCTTCGAAGTCGATCTGCCGCAGTGATTTTCAAAGGCTGAGGGAGTATACACATTGCCAGGAACTGCAAAGAAAAGAGAGTTGCTTGCAACACAACTTTGAACGTCCAGGTACAATTATCAAGATACGAAAGTCAAGCTATTACATGATCGATCTTCGAAAGTAACGAAGCAGCTTCTCGGTGTAATTAGTTCCGCTTACTCACCGCACTCATCGCAGTCGCACTGAACTTGGACTAACGGCTCTCCCGTTGCCAATGCGGTGACTTGCAGGGTTCCCTTCTTGAATTTGCCGTTCCGACCGCAAGTTATTGCTACACACTCTCCGGTTGTGCTGAAAACATCAGAGGAAGTTTGTTCAGCAGACGGTAACAATCCTCGAAGCTTGGTGCCGTCAATCAATGCTACGGTGTACCCTGCTGATCTACTTGCAGAAATCAATTGATTGAGTTGAACGGAAGGGAAAGAGAAGCAAATAGTTCAGAGACTTACGCCGGAGGCGTAGAACCCACGAGCTCGATGTCATCCGAAACGAGCTCGGCGCCATCCGGGATCAGCTCAGCAAATCGATCAATCAGAACGGGTTTCTTGAGCAGATTCAGGATGGCCATCAACGCCTCCAGATGCACAACAACTTTCTCCTCAACCCTGTTCCAGCAAAGAATGTTCTCTGCCAGCTCCTCCGCTGCACGCGTTTTACCAGGCGTGCCGGATAACTCCATCCGTTCCTTCAGAGACATCCATCGCAAGTCCGTAGCCTCTTGCAACCTTCCAAGGCTCTCCAGGCACAATGCCACGTCTTCCCGAGCTTCAATCATATGAATGCTGTTGTCAATGAACTTGGCAAAACTGAGGTTGTTATGACACAATTGGAGGGCGGTGTGGTTGGATTTCGAATCCCCAAAGAGTAAAGGTTCCAACGCGTCCCCACGCCGTTTCTGCCATTCATTATCGGGCTTCTGCAAAATAAAGACGAAATAGGCATTGTTACTATCTCGTATAACAGACAGGCAACGGACGAAATATCAAGCCTTCGATTGGTCTTCACGAGTGAACTTTCCCCCAGGCCGTTTTCGCCATTGAGTCTTGGGGTTCTGCAAACTCGAGTCAATAAAACGAGGGTTTGGAAATATCAGGTCAAAAAAACGGGGCGGCGATGGGCAGGATATCCAAAGGACACGACGAATACCCTCCCATGGTCTCTACACGTTTTTGGTGATATGCACACAATATCAATTTCACCAAAAATAGACAAAAGACTTACGACAACCAGTGTCATAAACCACTTAGGGGTTTTGATGTCTTTAGAATATACGCCCATGTTCCAGGTCTCTCCCGCCTCCTTGACTCTCTCGATAATGGGCCGTCTGATACACGCCTCAACAGGATGCTCGGTTCGCTCCGCTGCCTCGTCCCGATCTTGGACGCCTGATTCCTCAAGATCATTGCGTGCCCTCGCGGCTAGTGCCAACGCTGCCCACTTGGGAGCCTGAGCTCGGGGCGGAGGCTTTTGGGACGGGGATATGGGAATGGCTTGAGGCTGATTTAGGGGCGGGATGTTTTGGGACGGGGATGTGGGAAGGGCTTGAGGTTGTTCTTGCGGCGGAGGCTTCCGGGGCGGGAGTGCTGGTAGGGGCGGTT